TTTCTAATTTTTCTTTGTGCGCCTTCTGTGTACTTTTCAATAATAGTAATGGCAGCCGGCAACGGAGAAATCTCTGATGTGTTACATGATACAAAAAAGTTTTTAATACAAAATCTGCGAGAAAAAGAATCTCAGATCAGCTACAAATTTGTGGATACAGATCCAGAAAGAGAACAAATGAGAATATTTATCGAGAGACTTCAGCAACCAAATGAACAGAAGTAACCAATCCCTTGGTAAATATGATTTAACTGTGTTTTTCAGAAATAAAAGAATGCAAAAATAATGTCTCTTTAACTTATTGAAATTCGACATCTCGGTCTCGGAAATCTGGCACGTTAAGCTCGTTAACATATTGATGAAAGAATTGTGATTTTAATATTGTAGTGCGAATAGCTTTTGCGTCCAAAAATTGAAAACATTCTATTGTATTGTTGATAATTTTCGTTGCTCTCTTGCGCTTTCTTTTGGCCAGTTGGGAGATGAAAATGATAACGATAGTTTATTGAATGGCCGTTGATTAAATTGAATCAATTTGACGTGAAAAATTCGAATATTTAAAAAGAAAAAATTAATGCTGCCCGCCAAAATCGAAATGCGCATTCCTTGGGGAGTTATTTAGCAAATCCCTTGGGACCCCGTGAAGACCACATCGGACAGGTTATCAGATAGAACTTTTTATGTTGATTCTAATGATGGTATGCATGTGACCCCTAACCTGCGGCTTTGCGAGATATACTACTTTCAAAGTTTTTCATAATGCAAAAAAATATTCAATGCCGTGGCGTTTCTTTTAAATCCTATGAAGACCAACTCAGACCTAGTACATATTGTCTATGCAAATGCAAAACCGCACATTTAGAAGATTGTGCTGACGTTTCATGGTAGTTTTCAGGGCGGTGAACAATATGTACTAGGTTAGGTTAGGTGCTTCAAAAAAATACTAACGATTAGTGTCATACAAATTAGCATCCATCTTTTGTTCTACTTTGATGAAATATGGAAAATTTTTCTCCCAACGCCATTCACGTAACCCTAGCGTGGTCCATGAATTGTATTCATCGGGAAGACCTCTTAAGTAAATCATAGAATCAAACATAGTAGTTCCTCCCAGGCCTTTTCCAAATAAATCCGAATAAATCGGCATTTCTATTAATAATAAATCAAAATATTATTATTGGTGCTCTTGCTAAGGACATTTACTACAATTTAGCAAAACTCAAAAGCGTAACCCAAATTTAAACATCAAACGTAAAAACTGTCCAGAATTTTTGTTTAACTGTACTTACTCGATCATGCATACTGAAAAAAGATTTCTCCTGTTGAACCGTTTTGAAATTCCATGAGTAAACCGACCCTTGAAAGATGTTTGACAAAGCTGGAATCTCACTTAAACTAGGATTTGGTCCACCGGCTTCGAGCAGCAAAACCTTTTTGTTCGGATCCTCTGATAAGCGATTAGCCAGTACACATCCTGCAGCTGATGCCCCAACTAGTCAATGGGCATTCAAGTAATTAGAGTTGATAGTGAAAAACTTTGCCAAATAGCCAAGAAAAATGAATAACTTTTAAGTCATTTGAAAACTAAACATGAAAAGGTTTAAATAGAGACCGTTAGATGGCTTAACTAGTTGGCTAATCAAATGATCAGTTTGATTGAAAGTTGAATTGAAATGCTGTTGACATATAAAATGATTTTAATTTCACCAAGCAATCTCAATAAATAGATGAATTAACAGATAACCATGTAATACTTATTGACCAAAAACAAATGTCAACTTGACAATCAACAAGTCAAATATGTCAAATGACTTACAAATAAATTGCTCAAGAAACTATCAACTTTATGATTGTTATTAAAGTAATGATGAGAAAAGGTAGCAACAAAAACAAGACTCTTTTGGGCCAATTATGTTTAGTTTCCTAGAAAAGAAGAAACAAAAAAATGATATTTAAACAAGAAACTGGCGAAGTTCAAGAATGACAAGAAACCGATCAAACAAACGAAGACCAAATTTGGTTAAAAGATTGACCGTGGGTGACAATTAGTCAAACAAGTACAACCCGAGAAAATAAATATTTGATTGAATGGTAATAATCAATAATAAAGATTTAACCTGAACCAAAAGATTTATTGGCATTTTAACCAAAAAATGAAATGGGAATGAAAAAAGTCCGCAAGCGAGCAACAATGAGAAACATTTCAACGTTAAAGTGAAACTGAATAGTTGACTAGCATGATGAGGAAGACCAAGTAAAAACCAGGTAAACTGAACAAACAAAGGTAAGAACAGTTTAAAAATAAGAAAATGAGTGAGAAGAAGAAGAAGATGAAGATGAAGATGAAGATGATGGTGTTAGTGTGAAAGTAAAAAAGCCAACACACACAAAAAATGGGATGAAAATGGATGAAGATGATAATGACGTTTAATGGTGAACAATCCAATTGATTTGACGTCTTATTGTCAAGTTTGCAATATTTTGCCAACTTTCCCTCGTCTCATTACCTACTTCATTATCATCTTGCTCTTCTTGCTAGTTTAGTCATCATCAAGTTGATCATCATCATCATTGCCATCATTTACTTCATCATTTGCTTCATCAATAAATCAGGTTAAATCTTGTATTTATATACTTGTTAAGTTCAATTCTTTTTCATTCAATCAATTGTTTATCCATTTTCTTTTATCCTCTTTTCTGTTCATCTTTCAATCACCAACCAATTCAATTAACAGACATGATCATTAAATCATCCAAACATTCAACTGATTAACCAAAGGTAAACATTAAAAGTAAAATCCAGAAAAGCACAAGAAAAAATAAAAATCAATAAACTCTCATCCTTTTCAACCAGATTTTTATCCTTACATCTCTCTGGGTGTTGAACAAGAAACTGGAGTGAAACTAAATTTGGGTCAAAATTAAAGTCAACTGTTGACCATGTAAATGATGATTATGATAGTCTTGATGGGGATAAATTGTATCAACCTGAAATTATCAATTTAGACCAGAAAAAGTGTGAAAAATCGTAAACCTCATGCTTTGTCCATTCGCTTTTCAATCTCACTTTTCCACTTCAAATAACATCTCTCTTCCTTTTCTTGCCTCCTTCAACTTTATCATCTTCATCTTCTTCTTCTTCTTGTGTTCTCTTCCTTTTCTTCTCATTCTTCTTATTCTGTCAAATTGCATTCAGGTCAATAGTTGTTACCGAAGGAACCAAATAAACCTTACCATCAATTGAAATTGGTTATTTTGGGCAAACATGTTTAAACGGGAAAACGTTGAAAACTGTAAAGTCAAATAGTGAATGGCAAAAGTTAACATGAAACTAACGAAATGCGAAAAATTCAAACTATTTCAACTTATCTGGATTCTTGCAAGTCTGTATTCAATTGTTTATCAACCATGAATAACATGAGCCTCAAAATATCAACTCAGATTGACTTAATTTCATAACAAATCTGATTTCGATGACAACTTTAAACCGCCATCGAAACAGAAATTTGAGTTTGAAAGTTGCAATTTTCATTCACAATTAAAACTCGATTGTTCAATTTGTTTCAATTTTCACCATTATCCAATTACTTCGAGAGGTTGAATCATCCAATTCGATAAGAATCTTAAAAGATTGAGTTCTAATGTAATTATAACAATCAATTTGAGACTTTTTCATTCATTTTGTTGCTCAAAAGGGTTAGAGTTGAAACTCGATCGGCTTACAGTTAATATTATAATCTTATACATTTTTTTGTCATTTCATGATCATTCCTCTGTTTCAATTGTTTCTTTCAACATCTCAGATTGTCAAACCGCAGCTTATGATGAATTCAATTGTCCAGTCAATAAAATGATAAATTCAGACAAAAGGTTGGTCTAAAAGAAAGAAAAGAGAGAATCGATTGTGGCGACTTTCTTGGTTCTTTGGCCGTACTAAGCTATTCCTTGAACATGCTCATACTCGTTGTTTTGGCTTCAGGAGTTGCGAGCCCAAATTGAGCTCATCTTTATTGACTTCACCATTAACCAAACAATTACCATCAACTAAATTGTCTAGTAAGTTTAATTAAATTTCCTCTTGATATCCATGTAAACTCTCATTCACAATTTAGCCCCAAAATTAACCCAAAAATCTAACCCAAAATGAACCAAAACATGACTACGAATTTCCCTTGAACATTCGATCTGAAATCACCTGAATTAACATCAGTTGCCGTCAAAGTGTGATTAAAATGATTGAAAACGTCAATTTGCGTCGTCCGTTCCTTGATTGTTGACCAAGTGATTAGTGATTTGTGCCTTTTAATATTAGGATAACGGTGAATCTCAGGAGTTACAACTCGATGTAGTGATTTTCATATCTCCTAGTGACCAATACTTTTGGACGTTACTTGTGTTGTTGCCGCATTAATTTGAAGATCTGTTAGTTGACAAAGATGTAATTACTATTGTGAATGATCATTGATTAGTTGTCATTTTTAAAAAAAGGCCTTGTTAAGGTTAACATCGGTTAATAACGTTAATATTGACTAGAAACTGTTAATCTTTGAATTTGCTTGTATTGGAGAAAATGTTTCCTCAAGGAAAACCATTTCTACTCGAAATGTTAGCAAACCAAGTAATGAGATGGACTTAAATAATTTTTGAAGTGATTGTAATCATATTGATGAGGAAACACTAAGTTGAAAAGATGATTAGTTGATTACTAGACAATTTAATCTTACTTGATTGAGTAAAAGGAACTAAGAAACTCAAAAGTCCATTTGTACGTAAATCATTTAGAGCAAGATGAACCCAAAAAAGGACACCAACACTTGAATCTAATCACAGTTTAATCAAACCTCTTTCCGATTGATTCCTCCTTCATTTAAAGCCTCGACTTTACCTTTAATATCCAGCCCAAAAATGAGAGGTGATGATGAGAAAAAGAGAGAAAGAGAGAGAGAAGAAGAAAAAAATGAAGACAAAAAAAGCAGCAATGAAAACGAGACTTTGACTGTTATCAAGGTAAACCAAGAAGGAGAAAGATGATGATAATGATGGGAGAAAGAGACGTTTTCACGTTAATTGTAGATTGTTGAGTTTTCCAATTTTTTAATTCGTGGTCAAACACAATTTAAAAACAGTCTTAACAAGTAAATTAATTTATTTCAATCTGCAAACCATATGATTAGATATCAATAGTTTTTACTCGAGGAAAAAATACATTGACTAGATTGCCATCTATTATTTGAAATAATAGATGAAAATTTTCAATCTAAATTAGTCCAATCACTTTTCTTTACCCTTTATCCTTTGAGCTTCAGTTGTTTTTAAATCGGTTTAAATACAAAGTTTATTTTGCCCTTTCCCTTCATTCTCTTTCTTTTATTTAATTTAATTTAATTTTTTCAGTTCTTCTTCCATCATTAATTCTTATACATCGAACTTTTTTTGTTCTTTCACCTTTTCCCTCAGTTTTTCCCAATTGATTTTTGTGTATCGTCTTATTGGATAAAGACACCATCAAGTTACAAGAGAAGCCAAAATGTTGACAAATTTAATGAACACTATAAATTATGTATATTATGAAGTGTGGCAAGAAAAGGGTGACCCTCGAGTGGACTCGTACCCCTTGCTCCATGGTGGACCCTGGAAAGTGTTGACCATTGTTGGTTTATACATCTTCTTTGCCAAATACTGGGGACCCAAAATGATGAAAAACTCGGCTGCATGGGAATGTCGTAAAGCCATGATTATCCACAACTCGGTGTTAATTGTGCTCAATTTAATAGGTTTCGTCTTTGGCCTTGTGGTAACCTCATTTGGAGCCGAAGCTTGGTCCTGTAAATCTCTGGATACCAGTGATGTTTCCCTAAAAACCCGTTTAACCATTGCTTTGGGTTACCTTTATTTTATAACCAAATTTATGGACTTTCTCGACACTCTTTTCTTTGTGCTTCGCAAGAAAAATTCCCACATTTCTGGACTCCACGTTTTCCATCATGCCATTATGCCTCTCACTGCATGGGCCGGTTGTAAATTTTTCCCCGGCGGTAACTCAGCCATGACTCCATTGGTAAACTCGTTTGTACATGCAGTCATGTACACCTATTACCTTTGTGCTGCTCTCGATATACCCAAGGAAAAGTATATTCATCTTAAACGCCATATAACCGAAGTTCAATTGATACAATTTACCCTGGTTCTATCACATTCCCTTTACTCCTTGTTAAATCCATCCTGTGAATGGCCCCGAGCCATGGCAATTGCTGAAGGTGCTGAAGCCATTACCTTTCTTAAAATGTTTTCCGACTTTTATATCCATACCTATTTAACCAAAAAGGTTAAAGACAAATCATCCTAGGTTAATCAAATTGCCACCCTAATCTTTCAACCTTTTTTTTCAATCCTTTCCCTTTTTGCTACTCTCTTGTTAAAAATTTTTTGTATTCCATGTCACACTTGTTTGCTTGTTAATTTGGTAATAGATTAACTGAAAAAAGAGAAAAAATTAAATTGACTAAATTAATTGAAACTTGAACACTGAAATTAAAAGTCTCTCTCTTCTTCCTTGTGTGATATGTACTTTATTTTGGGTTAACCGTTGTATTTACAAATTAAATGACTGGATAAGCAGGTTTACAGAAGGGCAATGGAACTGACCAATGACCATCCGAGTTACAGGTAAGTATTGTTGACCCTTGAAGACGATAATCAGGTTTACATACAATTGAAATGGTTTCACCAATATTGTAATGAAATTTGGTTGGTATTAAATAGCCATTTGTTGGTTCACCAGGAAATTCACATGAAGCTTTACCTGGTTTAAAAGATGAAAGTTGAAAATAGCAAATAATGGTAAAAATTGATCAATAATGGAGAGATAAAAATGATTAATATAATAATAATTTGATGGAGAAGAAAATAAAAAGAATACAAAAAAATATAAAAAAAACATGAAGAAATGAGAATAGAAACTCTTTTCTTTTGCTCTTCAAGTCCGATTCACCGATTAACCCTATTTGTCTTGGCTTAACAATAGTCTTCTTTTGAACCAGAAAAATAGCTTTTATTGATGATAAGATGATTACATGACTTTACTCCTTTTTCATCTCAATATTAACCATCTTTGATAAGTCAATATGTTACCTTGATGATGATGATGAAAAATGATCAATTTAAACAATTGCCAGAAATGATGGCAAAAAATAGTAAACAGATAACAATGAAAGCTGTAAACCGAAAACTTGATTAACCAGTATTTTTGGGTACTTCGGGTGACAATTGAATAAAAATGGTTTAATTGTTTTAACCATTTGTGAGAAAGTGATTGACCATTGTATCAATCATGATCACTGTCCATCCAAGCGTCATTCAAAATGACCCTGATTGTGTGATTATTGAAATTGAGATGATGGATCAAGATAAAATGAAAGGAAACATTTTGTTCACTTTCAGATTATCAAATTGAGGACATCAGTAAATGATGAAAATCAAGTCAAAAATGGTTCATCTTTCTTTACTTTTACTTTCATCAATAAGATTAATCAGTTTACCTGAAACCTTTAACCCTGCAAACATTCATATTTTTAATGTTTCATTTTGTATTCTCTTAACTTGAATGATAATTTAATTTTTGATAATTTTAAGCCTTTCAGTTTTTGTAACAAAATGTAAAAAGCAATTTAAAGAGCAACAAAGAGTAAAGAGTTTCAATTTGCTTCAAGCCTCACTTTGGGTTCAGGCAAAAAGTAACGGTAATTAGTTGCTAACAATAAAGGTAAATATTGGGTTCAAGGTATTGACCAAGAGAAATGCTTACAAATGGGCGTTGGTTTGGACCAAGTTCCGTTTTCAAGGCAAATTGATAGACCATCACCAATCATGATGTAACCTGAATTACAAAAGTATTGAACATAATCACCGGTTCGATAATGGCCAATGTCCAGTAATCGTCCATTCGATGGTGTCGATGGAATCGGACAAGTATTTTCTGAATCAAAAAGAAAAGAGAAAAGTTTCAATTAGAATTTCAATTTTCCAAATTTATCGAAAATTCAATTCAAAAGTAGAAAAAATTAAAGCGCGAAGATTTAAAAAAGTCAAGTTCGAATTTTCTCTTTTTTTTGTTTTTCGGTCATTTCTCATTCCATTTCGATTAATATTTCCAATTCATTTTCGAATTTAAAGAAAACTTAATTTCAAATAGACTTTGGAATGAATTAAAGGGCGAAATGGAAATGCACAAAGTCGAGTTCGAATTTTCTCATTTTTTGATTTTTCGATAACTTTTCAATCGTTTTTGATGTTTGAATTCAGAGAAGTTGCGATTCGACTTGAAATGTTTTCTTTTCACTTTTTTCATTGCTCCAAAAAGGCAAAGTGAATGCTTGCCAAAGATGTTCAGTAAATAATTAAAATGTTGTTATCCTGATTCAGCCAATATTTGAACGATGATTTAGCGATGATTGATGTTAACAAATGTTAACAACAATTGAGAAGTGAAAGAAGAAAATTTATCGATTAATTTGTAAACTGAACAAAGCTGACCTTAATTCAGGTGAATCCAATTTAAATGTGGCCTTGACCAGTAAGCAAAATGAATCTATCCGGTTCCAAAGCACACTTTACATGTTACCTTATTCAGTATCATGTATTTATAATAACAGTTTTCATTATCTCGGTTGCTCCAGATGATGAAAAGTAACAAATTGAAAAAAAGTGAAATGACAAAAAGGAAAGAAAAAAGAAAATTGATTTTTCTTTCAATTCTTCATCCTCATCACACTCACCATCCTCATCATGTTTCACATGAAGAAAAGCATTTAAATTTTCCTTTACATTTGGACGTTTCCCTATGAGAGACACAAAAAAAGATCTTATTCATGACCTTAGATTCCCAATGATTGACCGTTAACATTAGCCATTCCGAACACACTAAAAGTATCTTATCAAGATTGTGCCGATTGGAAAGTTGAAAGTTACCTTAGAGCGCAAACAAAACGGCATGATGAGACTAGCCTAAAGGTTCCAATTGCGTAAAGATATGGACATTCAATGTTTACTTTGAAGAAACTGACAAATCAAAAATTGGTACAAAATGATGGAAAACTTTGTTCTTTAATTGTTCAACAAAATGGTCTAATGGCCAGAATGGCCTAATGGAGAGGAAAACTTTTCTGCTGTGAAAAGGCGCAACATTTTGTGACTTTAATTGAATCTAAAACTTGTTGCATCTGATAACGTTACAATTATCAGGTCAAATCAAAGTGTCAACAAGGTAAAGTTGCAACTGCAATGTTTGCTGGGCAGCGAGTTAAGCTTGAAGCTAACAAAGAGCCAAATGAAAATTCAAAGGAAAACGGCTGTAAAATGAAAAAAAAGTTCAACTGATTTCGATCAATCGAATGGAAAGTTAAAGGTACAATTAAAAAAACATTGAAATCTAGTTTAACGTCCATTGAAGAGTCGAGAATAAAAAAAGTTTAAAACGTCATTGTCTTCAAGCTTTACAGTTCTTCATCTTGATGATCTTATCTAATCAACTGAACAGTCAACATGGGTCAAGAATGTGAAATGAATTTTAAATTAGCTTTGAATCAGTTGTAATCAACTGAGAGAAAAAGGCGTTTAGAGAAAAGAATAGTTTCTGCAAAATTCGATTCACATGATGTTTCAATTGATATGAAAGAATTAAAATTTTCGAAAACTGATTAAAAGTTTCATTATCCCGTCATTATTTTCCTGTAAAAGTTCCGGAAAAAATTGCTAATCAAAAGTCTGAAAAAAGCGCATTTCGTTGGAAAATTTTGATCAACTTTTTCTCATTCGCTCATCAACGTCAGAATGATCTGATTAATCTCGTTTGAGCAAAGCAAAAGGTTCAATGTCTAACATGGAAATTCATTTTTCAATTTTTCTTCTTTTTTTCCTTGAATCTCAATCAACAGGTAAGCTATTAGATTTTGAGAGAAAAACAAAATTTCCTTTTAAGAGCTTATTTTTTTCATTTCATTCGGCGATTCGCGTCATTGTTGATTTTTACTGTTAAACAGTTGAATGGTTTTCATTAGTTTATCTGTGAATTGGATAAAGACTCGAGTAAATGTTTCAAGCATTTCATTTGATTTTCATTGGCTGTCCATTGACAAGGCTCAGGAAAAGAGCGTCATTTTCATTGGTAATGGAGATGAATTGTAATGAATTTATCTGAACAATTGACATGAAACAATGAACGTTGCAACATGAAAGACTGGAAACATTATCAGTTATTCTGTTCGAGTTTCGACCATTCATTTCATTCTGACAAAATGAACAGCTTTTCCATTTTTACTCTCATTTAACATCACTTTTGTTAAGCTACTTTGAGCATCTTTAATCATCATCATTGGAACAACATGAAAGATTAAAAGATTTAATGACAGTTTTGATGATCGCTTTTGATGGACAAAAGCTAAATGTCCAATGATTCAAAACTGGCAACAATTTAATCATGAAATGACAACTTGAATAACAAATGAGAATGAAATTTGTTTTCCAATTTCTGCTTAAAATACATGACAAGAACATGAATGATATTTCAATGAAAAGTTTATTCTTTACTTGCTTTTCATGTGAACCTTTTAAGACATTTGAATTAACAAGTTTAACAAATTAATGGGAAAATGAATTTGAATTATAAATTGTTGTCTAATGTTTTGTGGTTTAAAATTCAATTTCAAATTGAAAATGAAATTTGCTTTTTCCCTCTTCTCTCATCTTGTTGTTTCTTGAGTAGACTTTACTCTGTAATCATTTCACGAGGAAATGAACAACAATAAAGAAACTGATGAAAACTAAGATTTACCGGAAATTGTAGTCCAACTTTAAAGGTGAAAAGAAAAAGAAGAAAACATCCGAACAGAATAGTGAAACGGAAATGGAACTGAAGACTGAAACTTGATCATGCCATGATAACACAACGATGCCAATTGGATAACAATGTGAGAATGAAAATTTGCTTCTGTTTGGTGAAACTCTTTTTTTGGGCGAAAAAATAATTTCCCTTTTCTCAACTGATTCAACCGATAACTTGATTGAAAAGTTGAACTTGAATTTGAAACAAACTGCACTAAAACTCCGTACATTACCAGTTGGAAATGAAACAATTCAGTTAGTCATTACTTCGAGAGATTAATCTCTTAATTTTTAGAATAAATTGATAATTTCGAACTCAGGAAACTCTTTTCAAGTTTTAGTTTCAGAATTTTGCTGCATTTGTTCAACCAGAATCTTCTCTTGTTTCAATCCCATTGTTCAGTGATCGAAGAAATATCTTTTTGTCAGTTTTCTATCGTTAGAAAAACTTAAAATCTTTTCACGAACAGTTAACCCAAGACTTTACATGTTAGCTTTAGAATCTGGTTAATCTTTTCAACCAGAAAACTAGTCACTTGTCACCTAATCAACTTCAACCAGTCAACTTGTCATGAGAAGAAGCGACGAGCAAAGTTATATTTTAATCGTCGAAACTTCATATTCAATGTGAAAGTTTGCTCTTCGAGCCAAAGTTTAGTCAATGTAAAGTGACTGCATTTTGCTCATTTTCACCTTTAATGAAGCAACAACGAAGTGAGTCTTGAATTGCCTGAAATCGATACTTTCTTTCGAATCTAAGTTTTTTGAGGTTTTAATGAGATGATGAGATTATACGATAATGGTAATTGAAATTATCCGAATTTTGAAACTTTGTAGCTTAATCAACATTATAATATCATTATTTGAATTAGATCAATCATTCATTGGAAAATCATCATTTCAAGTGTTGAAATTTTTCCACTCATTATTGATGGTAAACATTGGTTGATATTGATTTGTTGGAAAAGTGCAATTGCTGTTGATCATGTTTTTGTTTTCACCTTTTCTCGACTCAACTGACTGGCTGATGAAACAAGACTCATGCATCTATTGAAAAAGAAACAATGAAAAGTTTTTTTTATTGATTGATTTACCTTCACATTGAGGAATCTCATTGCTCCAAGTATTGTTTTTGAAACACGAAATGGATGATAAACCATTCAATCTGTACCCATTGGGACAAGAAAAGTAAACTCGAGATCCAAAGGTTCGATTGTAGGTTGACATTTTCAGGTAAGGATCTTCAGTTGATAAAGGTGGACATTCAATTGCTGTTGAAAGAAGAAGAAGAGACAAAATTGTCAAATTAAATGTAAATGGTTGACAAGCAACAATTGTAAAAGTATTTTAATTTTACAATCCTTCTTTTATTGTCAACAATAACCAAGCTAAAAATATTCAATTTATCCAAATAATTGGCTGCTAATAAAACTTTGAGATTCACAGCAACAAAACAAACTAATAAAAATGAAATTGATTCCATTAATTGTTGTTCCGAAAACAATTGTTCACCTAATTGAGCAGAAAACAACAATAAAATTCCTTTTCCCATCCATTATCAGCTCAATTGAGCATTCAATTTAAGTTTAATTTAGTAAAGTTTATTTTCAATTTGAAAGCAAAAAATTGCTCAATTTGCAAGTTGAACCTTTAAATGGTAAAAAACTGGAAAACTCAAGTTTACTGTAATTACCTTGGCAATTGGGTAAAGGATGAGACCAATAACCGTTTGGAGTGCAAACGATATCATCAAATCCAACCAGAAAATAGCCTTCGACACACGAGAATCGAGCTTGACTGTGCATTTTCCTTCCATCGACAATCATTATCCTATTTGGATCACTTGAATCGATCGGTGGACATTCAATATCTAAAGAGTAAGAAAAGATTGTTTTGTTAACAAAAAAAGTCTTAAGTCAAACAATAAAGAGTTTCATATCAAGGTTGGTCAACATTATCCACTTGCCATTCATTATGCAAATTGAAAACCGTGCAGTTTCAACCTTCTCAGTTGACCACTTATTAATAGTATTAACTCTCATTTCTTGCTTCTTCTTGTGACAAAAAAAGGTGCCAAAAAACAAACCGTCTCTAGGTCATTAGGCCAAATACTTAACAAGCAATCATCAAATGGTTTACCGTTTTATTTTCAACTATTTTTTCTTCAACTGCAAACTTATTGCTATTTATTGATTGGTAAAACCTATTTTTGTTCAACTTTCTCAATAAATCGTAATTAAATGTAAAACTTGTTATATTGGACTCGGTTGTTGGTCAGAGTTGGTCAGAGTTGGTCAGAGTTGGTCAAAAATTGATGGTAAAATTGTTATACTTTTCGTTTAATATTTTCAGCATTGAATATTGAGTTTGTAGATCAGTGAAAAATGAGTTTCAAGTTGATTGAAGAGATCGAAAGTGGTTAAGACAATTTAAAAGGTTAACAATATAATTAGATGGGATTGTGCGACTTATTGATGTTCATTTGCGAGTTGCGAGTTTTCATGTTTTCAACATTTGAACATCTCTTTTCGATTGGGATGAAGATTGGTGAAAGATGATTAAATTGGTCTTTGAATTGTGTTATTAAGTTAATATTGAGCTTTATCGAGTTGCTACTATTGTTGATGGTAAATGAATCAAGAATGAAATGGTCAAATGGGCAGCAATGGAAAGGACTTTAAAGTTATGCTTTTCAGGTAGAACCTGTTTTCGCGTACAAAAGTAGTCCAAATCTATTGATTACATTTGAACTTGACTCTCTCACTATTGATATTTTTGGGCTTAAACTCAAATCGGTAAAACTTCAAGTTGAATAAGGCGATTCAACCGCCATCTAATGAACTTAAGTCAATTCACAAATAATATTAATATTTATATTCAACAGCAAAAACAGTGCAAAGTTCAAGATCATTTTTTGGATAGAGTTGCATCATTTCAGAAATCATTTCTTTTGAAATAGTTTCGATTGAATTTCTTAGAATAAGTTAACTAAAAAAGGTCACTCAATTCAAGTGATATCCTCATGAGTCTGGAATAATTCAAAATTCAATTTCACAAACCATTCATCTTATACCTGAGTTCCTTTCCAAATATGTCTGGAAATTTTGTACTTTCTTCTGTATTTCACTTGATTTTATTGCAAAAATTGAAAGTTTATGAGTTTGAATTGCATCCATATCAAAGTTTTGATCATCAAATCACTTTAATTGATACAGCTCAAGTATCAAAGATGTTTAAAGAAGCTCAAAGTAAAATTCAACTGAACAACGGTACTAAAGTGAGCAATTCTTGAATTATTTCTAAGACAAGCGATCAAAACTTGGATAGCCAGAAGATTCAGTCTTAAGTATGAAAGTCTGGTTGACACAAAAGAAGTTCAAATACGAAGTAATCTTAGGTAACTCCAAGAACTGATTCTAACCATACAATGCATCTAATGAAATATAGCTTACTAGAGCAGAAACATTTCTTTGATGCGACAGCAATTTACTCGCACAAGTTACAATTTACTATTAAATCTTGTCAAGTCGAGATGGACAACACTTCCTGCGGAGAAGCGCTTATGTAAAAATTCAAAGTCTAAACTAAGTATGCATCGAGAGCATCCAGTTACGTTTCTCTTTGATATAACTGATCTTCTTTTTTCTTAAAGTTACTTGCTCGATGTCGTCTAAATAAACTTTTACTCGCTCAAAAAATTCTATTTTTTGATAATCTGGCGTCCACTTTCAAGAGATCGAGTAGCAGAAAAATAAGCGTTATGACGCTGTTGATCAGCCTCAGGAGGAGGATAAACACTCGTATCCTTTCAATACTTTCAGTATTCATCAGTTAGCAAACTTGTCGGGCTCGAGACTTTCTTTACCTATTAGGAAATTATCGTTTATTCAGTTGATCAAGATTCGAATCAAAATTTTGTCTGACTTTATTTGAAACTTATTCACAAGCAATCACAATATTGAAAGAAAATCAGAAATTCAAAAGCTAATTTCAATCTGTTTCTGGGTGAGCTTCGAAAATTGCAGTTGAGAATAAAATTTGAATAAAATTGTCTCTGTTCCAAGGAAGCAAACAATAAACTTATTTAAAAGCAATCTCAATTTGAATTTGATCAATATTTCAATTTTACCCTGAAAATAGTTTACCTTCACCAAGAAGCTCTTTATTAATAGCACTATTATTAATAGCTGAAACCTATTCAGTTGATCATCTCATTGAATTATCATGATTGATAACCCGAAATTTGATGATATTACATTTGTTTGAGAAGAAAAGTAATTCATTATTTATCCTTCATTGAGAAGAGTTTTTCATTGATTAATAATAATCATGATGTAAAAAGAAGGAAAAGAGAAGAAGAAAAAAAAGTTTCATTCTTTCTGCCTAATCAATTGATGGACATTCTCAATGATTCAGATGACAGTGATAAGCAAAAAAATAGAGGATCAATGATGTGGTTAAATAATGATTGAAAATAGGCCCAGTAAAGATGATGATAAAGGTGGACAAGAGACTGAATAAAATAAATAATGAGCAAAGTAAAGGTTAATAAACATTGACATTGAACCATAAATAAATCAACATCAAGCCTCATCAGAAACATCATCACAAGTTCATGTCAAACATTCATTTCAATCTGAGAACATTGTCAAAAATGGAAAACAAGATACAAGAAAACCAGAGTCCAACACGAAACTTGACCACAAAAATTTGGCCAAATAAATATTCTTCAACTTGGAGAAAAAAGTATTGAACTTTTAATCCAATTTTTCCTCCATTCTTCATCTTTTTACCTTTTGTTTGCATCAGAAACTCTTGTACTCTTGATCTTTATTAAGCTGTGATAAACCAATTTACCTCGCAACTGAACATTCCCTTCAAATTGAGTTATCACAAAAAATATTCAATTGTAACCTTATTAGACTTTACCTTGATAAAGGTAACAAATGAAGATGAGAATAACCTTTTCTTTCGTTTCCTTCTTGTTCACTCTTCTCTCAACAATCAGTTTTACCTTTTTTTCCGTTTCCGTCAAATAGTCTTCGAAGTTCCTAACAAGTCTTTTTTAGTTGATGCAGTTTGATGGGCGATAATATCATTATTGACATGATCTTTTCTGGAGTGGAAAACAAAAGTAGCTTCTCTCCCCATTATTCAGTAGGTTTTACTCCAATGGATAATGAATAAAACTGTTGCAATGATAAAATGAGAAGGAAAAGGGAAAAGAAAAGGTAACTCTTTAAAAGGATTTTTTGGTTATTCACGATTCCCTGGAGGCTTTACATTATTGGTAACTTTGTTAACGTTCATATCAATGTTCACACAAAATGTGAATATCCACTCAACCAGATAATAATAATGGTAATGGTAATAATAAGAAATAATAATGATAATAATGTTCACTTGGTTAAGAGAATCAACAAGAGAAAAGTTTTGCCACAAATTTCTTGACTTTCATCGAAAAATAAAGTTCAACTCGAAACAACTTTACAGAATCATTAGTGTTTTTTTATGCTAACAACTTTTGATCAAATATTCAACTTGCTTTTAGGCACTTTTACACTTATTTATTTATATTTTGCTTTCTTTATTGAAATAAAACTAAATTATAATGCATAAACAGTACATTGGGAACAATAATTTTTACACTTTTTTGCTTCTTCTTCTGTTTTTACGAGGCTTTTGTTCAAGTTAAAAGTTTCATTGTTATCAATGAATTTCATGTGCAAATATCAATAAATTAATGCTAATGAAGTTTCAAGAAAATAAACTTATGAAATTAGCTAATGGCTAGTTTTTCATCTTCTCTTTCATGGAACAATAATTTTAGTTTATTACACTTTAGATGGTCAAGTTTTCAGAACTTAAGTTCAGGTTTCACAGAAGTTCATTTCACTAGATTGATGTGGAAAATTCTGTTATAAAGTAAATTTTCAAGATGAGCTTTTCCATCATTCCATGCTGAGAGGAATTGCTGGAATTTTTTTAAACAAATGAGAAATTCGAAGTTCTCAGCCTTTGAGTCTTGTTTTATCAAAATTATGCTAATTGTTCATTGAGAGAAGATTTGCGTGAAAAATCTGAATTTGCATTTTTCTTTAAATTGTACTGGGAGTGAGCTTTGATAGACTGTAGAGATTAAAAATATAAGATGAGGATGAAGCTTTTCATCAGAAAACTGTTCTGTCAGAAATGACAGAAGCAAGGTTTAAAGTTTTCACCGGTGAATTACATCTCGAAAAGAATTTGCTTAAAAGTAAATCTAAACTTGAATAAGAGTGAGAACAAGAAAAAACTAATTAAACCTGAAAAGAACATTTTTGTCACTGATTTTAAAGTTTCTCTGACTATTGGTTGGATGCTCAAACAAACGACTTGGTTTCCAGATCAACATCTTTTCCATTTGGTTTGATAAATTGTTCAAGTTCATTTGAAACGGAAAATTTTGTTTGCTTAAATGTCAGTAAAAGTTTTCTGGTTAATTTTTCATGAAAACATTCTGTTACACATCTAAAATGCTTCAACACTTTCAACATGAATTTTTATTGACTCTTTTTCGTCCCGATTTTACTAAATTAAACTTTCTCTTCGAAGACGCTATTTTTGTTTGTTTTTCAAGTTTAAATGAATTTATGGATAGAAGTGTTTTCTTTCGATAAGCACTGAGACTTTGAAACGAAAGAAACCTGAAATTCTGCAAAGATTAATGCAACCAATAACTTTGATTTTTTCTAACGGCTTTTTGATTCTTTTGATGTCCTTTTCTCTGCAAATTGAATCATTAAATTGAGATAGGATTATAAAGGCGTTTGACTTTGCCTGTTAGTCTAATTGAATAACTCTAAGTGCCTGAAACTTGAGTTTCATATA